GATGATATAAATGCCATTCCATTTTTGCTTCTGTATTTTCAGTAGTAATGTACAGCCCACAATATTTTGGTTTTGCCAGCATTACTTAGAGTAGGGAATTGTTCTTAAAATGTGAAACAAGTTGTCTGTACCCTGCAGTGGCTCACTGTCCTGTACGCAGCATGTTATGAACTGGCTCACTTGGCAATGTAAATTGAATTCTGCCTAGAGATGACATTTTAAGGTTTATTTTGGGCTTTATTGCCTTTATTCATTTTTTAAAGTAATCTCGGAGAGGCGGACAGGAAACAGGAGAGACGAAGACAAGTCCCCAGCGGGTAGATGGTGCACCACACTGTAACCATTCGTCTATGGGGTGCTCCAGATTAAAAGTTTTTAAGGGAATTAAACTGAAAAGCAAGAGGTTTGTGCACATACAGTAGTTTAAGCCAATACCTGAACCTAAACATTTTCAAAACGTAAATATGACCAGGAAAACGGCCAGAGAGTTTGGATAATATTTCAGTGTTACGATTTAACTACTCTTGTACAAATGCAGTGACTTCTCAGCAATGCAAAACTAACTCATCCCTTCACTTGTTTTGCTACACTGCTGACTTCTATGTGACCTAGACAGGGGTCATCATGTCATTTGGCTGAAGGCCCAACCACCTGTTACAGATGTGTGGCCTTGGAGTAGAACATGAACATTTAGTTTAGTGAAAGTGCAATAATCTGACACACTGAGTGAGGAGGCTGGTCTTGTCTACATGAAAGCAGGCACCCATCGAAAGTGGAAGATTATTTTATGCATACCACGAAGGAAAAAAGTAACCAGAATGAAGTAATGCTGTCCTTAAAATAGTTATAAGACTTAAGCATTAGTGACTGTTTCCTTAGCTAGGTCACTGTCATATGGTGAGTTAGCCAAAGGACAAGTGGCCAATTTTGCGATACAGTCAGTTCTTATGCTTAAGAACACGTAAGAAGGGAGTCATTCTAAGAAAACAAAAAGGTTTCACCTCTATGCTGAGTCTGCTACTGCCCATGTTTGACAATGCTTCTCATCACTGAGCTCCCATCTTCACTTCTCTTTGAGTCAGCTCATGTGGAGCAGAGAGTGATGCTGACCCCCTCCCCTATCCAGCACGCAGGGAACAGCTCCTGGGTGAAGGCACAGTGGAAGGCGTGGAGCCTGGTCTGCCCATTGCCGTAATAGGTAAGCGTCCCTGCCTCGTAGTCCAACAGCATGCCGATGCGGCTGTGCTGCGAGTGGCCGCTCAGAATCTCCCGCCGGCCGTTGTGCCAGGCACAGAGCTGATGCTCATCCAGCTGCAGGCTCCAGGACAGTTCGTTCATACCCACCATGCACCTCTTGCCTTTCTCCTTCCTGGGGATGGTTTCATAAGTTACCTGAGAAGATGTGGGGGGGAAATGTGGGTGGATTGTCTGCAAACATGTTTTAGTCTATACAAAATGGTGGGCTAAATCAACAACAGGCAAACATTAGCATTCATACTGTTCTGCTTTGCTTGCTCAACAGTTGTTTTGTGTTCATGTGTGTGTGTGTGTGGGGAGAGCTCAGCCCCACTGAACGGGAGGAGGTGATCTGAAGCTCATGTTATGTACAAATGTCATATTTGCTCCCAGACAAGGAGGACGTGATAGCTGTCGCTCAGTATTCTGACAACGTTACATTATCAGGTCAGGAAAAGTCTTTCACATGTCTATTCCCTTTCCTTTTTTGCCTGCACTCCACAGCACACACAACGTAATTTTGACTATGCCACACCTTGTCCTTTCCAGATAACATTATTCCACCAAAAAAGAGGCATAAGGAGTGTTTTGCCATCCAGACCCTCAGTAGCTAACAAGCTAGAGTTAATGAACTGGCCAACAGCCATGGTGATTTAAAATGAAAACCTGCTACCTAACAACAATCTTTAAACTGTGGAAAACATCAGCTTGTGTTAGTTAACCATGTTAGCTAATGTCAGCTAACAAACTAACCATGTCTCCCGTTAACTACAGGCTAGCAGTCACATTGATAGTAGGAGTAAACATTTAGTGGGTGGACAGGCCTATATCAACATATGGGTTGAAACCCCATGAAAATGTGACCAGAACTGACCACTTTTACCCTACAAGTTCAGGTAATGGGAAGCCCCAGGTTATAGGTCAGTAGGTTCTTGCAGTGTTAAAAGACCAATTTGTGAAATGTATGTGTTTGATGGGATTTTTGCAAATTAATTTAAATTTAACACTTGTTCACAGTCCCAGTTACTGTTACTTTCAGACACTGTGTGAAGTAACTGGCTTGGCTAATTTTCCTGAATACTGGAATTTAAATGATTCACTCTTTAAAAGGAAAAAAAAAAAAACCCAAAAAAGGATGCAACTACAACATGCAGAGTTGTTTACCCCAAGGTAGGCCCAAGGCTTGGACACCTCCAGCTCCCAGTAGTGTTGTCCGTGGGTGAAACCCTGAAAGCAGAGCACCTGCCAGGTGTGGTCGAAGCGGGCTTCATGGGCAGGGACAGGTCGTGGCCCAGAGATCAGGTGCTCCGCCCTGCGATTCTCCTGGGACAGAATGAGGTGCGCATTGGCCGTGCGGGGGTCAAAGGTCAGAGAGCAGCGATCTATAATGACAAAGAAAGGGAAGGAAGTGATAAATCAAAACTTCTAATGTCTTTTCAATCAGAAGAACCAGGTTTCATTGACCGGTAACAATCTAAACAAAAAAAAACTTACAAGCACTGAGGCCCTCCTTCCCACCAGGGTGGCACTTTGTGGCTGGACTGGGAACCACAGCTAGTATTGGCCTCTTATCCTGAGGAGAACCTGGGAAACAGTGACCAGAACACAGAGCCAAGACTGAGGAATAAACTGCTAGAGACTCAAGCTAACTTGTTACATAGGGAATGCCCCCCGTTTAGGCTGGTTACCGTCTTTGTCTTGACCGATAGCGGTGCTCACAGCTTTGTCCAGGTCCTCAGACACCAGTTTGGAGACCCGTGACAGGACATCGGTGACGCTGTTTAATTGATCTTGAAGGGTTGGCGTTACATTCGTGGGAATAGCTTCAAAATGCGGAACTTCTATGAGCATCGTTTCCTGTGAGATAAGGTAATCCTTTATCATCATTGTAAGATGTACAACGAAATTTTAGTGACCTCCAGTCTGTACAGCAATAAAAAAAACAACATATGAAATAAAACCATAACCGGTAAAAGATGAAATAAACACACCTCTCACACAGATGCATTCCAAAGAAGACCTTAATGAGTTTTAGTATGATGAATGTGACTTTGTTTTTGGAGAAACAAGCCTGGTCAAATATGTCATCACTGTCAACTGCCCAGACCCCACACTGACCTAGTCTTCCTAGGTGACTCAACAAAGACATGAGGACGTGATATCCACTATACTCAATCTCTGCAGTTGTAAAGTGCAACAAGCCTGTGATGGGCCATAAATGTGTGTCAATAAGGTAATAATGAAGGCAATAATGACTGTTCTGCTGCCATCTAGCAGTAGGCAGCTCACTGTGTCAACTCCAAACTACATCACTTAACACTGTCAGGTACGGAGACAGTGTTTCTCAATATGCTGTTTATAAATGATAGCATTACAGCACAGAAATCAAATGGGAACATTCTGACTTTTTCACAACAGGAAGTGACAAAACAAATTTGCTAAGAAACAGTGATGACATTTAGAGTGCACTCTGCTCTGTTAAACACATGACAGCTGCAGCGTCCTTTCCTACTAGTCAGTGTTGTTCCACTTTCTCACTAGTCCCTGCTTAACAGAGATGTTCATGAGTGTAGGTCTGCGCCAAGTCTAAAGTCTAGTTAGTGTTCAATTCAAATCTGAAATCTCTAGGGAAGGAGTCCAAGTCAAGTCTCAAATCATTAATGTTTCCTATGTAGTATGTCTATTCCATGAATTGTATCCAGTGTATTAACTAATGGCTTACAATGGGTAAATAGTGTCTCTCTCTCTCTCTCTCTGAGCAGCTACAGACCACAAAAATGTTCCTTTAAATTCTCTAAACCTGCAGATTAAGATACTACTTCCAGGGGCAAATGTAGGCAAGCAGCATAAAATGCTTGGATACTGTACATCTTTTAATGTTTTGCAGTCTTCTGATATAAGAACATATAGTTGGTAACATTATCAGCACTGCATTAGTACAACACCACAATGACCTCAGTAATAAACATATATTTGAATTTATATATTTATGAGAATATCACTAAAAACTGAAACATTTTGGGCTTCATAAACACAGATGTTAAGGTGGAAGTGTTGCACTGAAGTGCATACAATTTTACAAGTGTGACTATTAAAGTGCTTGGTGAGTGTACATATAATAATATAAAGGAAACCTTGCAGTGCCATATAGTCATATTTAAACACTGACTATGTTACAAACTTTCTATCTGAACCAAATTACAAATGGTATAAAGTGTCTACTTCAAACCTTAATGAGCTCTGAATCACAGAGTTTATGTAGAGCTGCTATCTGGTCTTGGCTCTGTCTGAGTATGTGGGAACGCTTCTCAAGGTCAGCCAGCCGTGTCTCTGCCTCAGTGATGGCAGCCTCTTTCTGCTTATTAATAAACAGCTCCGTAGCCTCCTGCTTCTCAGCCAGTATCTTTATCAGGGTGGAGAACTTTACACTGACCCAAGCTGAAGTTTGCTCAAGAGTCACCTGTTGACAGAAAACACTGAATCACACGTCTGCTTTGGGAAATTTGGAAACACACGGTTGTGTCCAATTCTAATTTGTTTTCCCGGGTCTTCTTGTTTATCTACACAAAATGTATCAAGTTTAATTGTTTTTCATCATCATCATCAACTTTATTTATATAGCACATTTAACACAGCCGAAGCTGAACAAAGTGCTTAACACAATATCCACAACACCCCTTAAAAATGCTTTTGCATCTGCAGTTTTGTTGGTTAAAATCTGAACATTTGTTGCAAATGCATTACAAGTCTTGTGTGTGTGTGTGTGTGTGTGTGTGTGTGTGCATGAGGAAAGTAATCAATTGCCTAATTTCTTAGTAATGTTAGTCAAGCATTCAGGGTACTTTCTCATAAAGAAAGGCTTAAAATGGGAGCTCACCTTAGCTTGATTGATATTCTCAGCCAAGTCATTTATGCTTTTCTGTGTCTCTTCGATGAGTTTCCCCACCTCCTTATTTTTTGTTTCTAGAAGCTGCTATAAAGAAAACACATCAAACTGAGACAGCAGGCTTTGCATAGTGACAATCATACCACCTTTGATAATGGAGTAGAGTGGACAGTGTCACAACTGGACTGACAATCCATTTTACAACACAAACTAGTTGGGTGTGATCGCACTGTGTTACAATGTATACCTCTTGGTTTTCCCTTTCTGTCTCCAACACCACCTTCTCATGGCTCGTACATTCTGAGATAGCACACACGCAGCACACAGACATTTTGTCCTGCTTGCAGTAATAAACCAGAGGCTTTTTATGGCGATCACACAGCTTCATGACTCCATCACTTTCCATCATGAGTGACTCCCTGCAGAAGGGGCCGGTGCTGTTTGCAGCCTCAGTCAGGAGTGACAGGGACACGTTACGCTTAAGAATGGGCCTGGGGTCAAACTCCTCACTGCAGATAGGGCACTGAGATCTAATACCAGCCTTGGCCTTGGCATCCCAGTGAGCGTTGATGCATTTTTCACAGAATGTGTGTCCGCATGGGATGGTTACAGGGCTATTGTAACGATCTAGACATATGGCGCAGGTTAGGTTTGAATTCTGAGACTCCATCTCTGAAGAAAGAACAGACACCTGTGGAAAAAAAAGGGGAACACAGAAGGTCGACTCTTGAACATATCAGTAATTAAATATCATAATCCCTACACAAAGTGACAGCTAATTACAGTATGTAACTTAAGTGCATAACCTCTGTGTAGAAAGGGCCCATTACTCACAAACATAAAATTTACCACTTTTTATTAGTGCCAGTTATATTGGGCAACAGTGGTGGCATCTGCAGTTTTTTACACTGTTGTGGGTTGGGCAGGAGGTAGCACGGGCATGGACAGAAAGAGACTAAACAAGCTGGTCAAGAGAGCTGGGTCTGTTCTGGGCTGCCCCCTGGGTTCCATGAATACATCAATACAGGATCGGTCCAAATGGTAACGCTAGCTACTATACCTTGTTTTAGCCAAGTAGAAGAAGAAAAGCTTACGCTAACGTCAGCTAACATTAGGCTAGATTCAAGTTAGTTCATGTTACCTTGGTCAACAGTCAAAATATAAAAACGTCCTGTGACTTAACTGTATATTACACACATTTTACAGCCACAATCCTGGTATAACCAACTATAAAACATAAGCATTTATGCTTACCGCTTCAACAGATACAATCATGCACAGCATCTAGCACTATGCATATACCGCTTCCGATGAGCGCTTCCCTGATGACGACAGACGCAAAAATGACGCCTTCTTCTTCTTCTTCTTCTTCTTCTTCTTCTTCTTCTTCTTCTTCTTCTTCTTCTTCTTCTTCTTCTTCTTCTTCTTCTTCTTCTTCCCTCCTGCTACGGCTTCTGCGTCTTCTCCTGCTGCTGCTTTTTTTTTTTTTTAATGTTTTTATTAAGCAAAAATGTAGAACAGTACAGAGTTTCACATTACAAATCGTTGCAATAGATGTATAACAGCGGATTTAGAGTATAATATGACAAAATTAGGCATATAAAAAGGAGGTGAAAAAGAACAATAACATCAAATAAGTGAGAACAAAGAAAAGAAAATACAAGGAGGTAAAGCTATTCAGATATAAAATTAAAATGTTTAAGCAGGTCAATGGTTTTGGTTCGTTTCTTGTTGGGGTGGTTTGATTGTAACAGTAAATGGAAGTAGTTGTTGAGATCAGAGTGTTTAAAGGTTGAAAAGGATGGTGATTTTTTCAGAAATTTCATTTTATGGATGAAGAATTTGGCCAAAATAATGAAAAGATTAATAACAAATTTTTCATTGCTAGAGAAATGAGGCTTGTCAAAAATTAATAATATATTATATTCTTTAAGTACAATTTCCTTTCCAAGATAATTTTTGAGATCAAAACAGAAGTCAGTCCAAAATACTGTTACATGTGCACACTGAAAAAAAAGATGCTCTAAAGTTTCTAGCTCATTGTTGCAAAAGGAGCATTTTTCTTCTATGTTTGGAATGTATTTACAAATAATAGAGTTTACTGGGTAAAATTTATGTAAGATTTTAAAGAAAAGTTCTTTAGTTTTGTTGGACAAGACAAATTTGTAGGGGCTCTTCTTCCTCTTCCTCTTCCTCTACTACTGTTGTTTAATGGCGATGGGCAACCTGCTTTAGGTGCATTACCGCCACCGTCTAGAGTGGAGTATGGATCAAAACGGCTCCTACCTACTACTATAACAAAATAACCTCACTCAGTTCACTTTATATTATCTTGTGTAACCCCGTGCTCTCTAAAAACCTAATGATTCAAGGTGCTGTCGAGAAAATCGAAAAATTCACATAGACACCCAACATGACTGGATGATTACTGTCATTACTGCATTATAAGACATATAACACTGTGACTGGATAAAGTGTTATATTATGAATTTGCAGCAGTGACATTTACTGGTTGTTATTGCTCATTGCACTGTACCTCACAGCTTCTTGTTAGATTGTGAGCTTTCAGGGCTCACATATTGAGATTGTGGACATCTTTAAATACCTGGGTGTCCACCTCAACAATAAACTGGATTGGGCCAACAACACAGATGCCCTGTACAGGAAGGGCCAGAGCCGCCTCCACTTGTTGAGGAGACTGAGGTCCTTTAGTGTGCGGGGGGCACTCCTTTGGACATTTAATGATACTGTGGTGGCATCTGCAGTTTTTTACACTGTTGTGGGTTGGGCAGGAGGTAGCACGGGCATGGACAGAAAGAGACTAAACAAGCTGGTCAAGAGAGCTGGGTCTGTTCTGGGCTGCCCCCTGGATTCCATCGAGGAGGTGGCGGACAGAAGGATGCTGGCAAAACTAACATCCATCATGCATAACCCCTCCCATCCCCTGCACCACGAGGCTCTGAACAGTTCTTTTAGCACAAGACTGCCACATCCTCATTGCAAGAAGGAGTGTTACCGTAGGTCATTCCTCCCCACAGCTATCAGACTATACAATACCTAACTGCAGTGATAAGCTAGGTGAAATTAAGAGGGACTACGCAGTAGTCAGCTGAGGTACAATACTCAAATCCTCGGAGTAAAATGCATTGTAAATATGCACATATGTAAAATCTGTTCTTGATTTCTCTTGAATACTTTATGCTGTTTTGTCTAGGTATTTTTGAGTAGTTTTTTAGAGATCCTCATGGCTGAAATACAGTTATTTCGCCCATTGCAAGATCAATTATGGGAATAATATTCTTGTCCTTGATTTCTTGATCTTGAATGCTATATTTTGTCTTGTTCTTAGGTATTTTGATCTGTTCTCAGGGATTAATTATGGGAGGATCATTCTAGTTCCTGATTGACTCTCAAATACTATATTCTGTCTGGTTTTAGGTACTTTAGGAATTTGTTTATCAACATATGTGTGTGGTGTCTGTTCTTATGGTGTTTTGTTGCTGCTCTCTATTGCTGCTGGAACACAGGAATTTCCCCATTGTGGGATCAATAAAGTCCTACCCTACTACCTACCTACCTACCTACCTACCTACCTATATGTTTTAGTTTTTGTACGATAAAGGTGAAATAAAAAAAATGCTCTGGTTATACTGGCAAAATCTCTATCACATATGTTGCAGTTAGGCTATTGTTTGTTAGTATATTATGGTCGGTCGGTTAGTTAGTCGGTCAGGAAACGCGTTGTTCACAGACAGTTTTGTTCCTCTCGGCCACTGTATATTCTGAAAAAAGAAAACCCCAATTCAAGATGGCGCTGCGCATGGTTTATTCTGTTGTCTTGCGAAGTAGGACGGATTTAGGGGTCAGCAATGTGCGGACATTTGTCACAACAGGTATTATAATGATATTACAAAATTATAGAGTTTACATTTATGAAGTTTGCGCTCATATCTCAGTATTGCATGTATAGATAATATGTCAGGTTACATTGGTTGGAAGCAGATCCCCGCCCGTTACACGCCGTCCTTTTGCTGGAGACGAACAAATTGCCAAACTCTAAAACGTGTGACAATTAAATATGAACCTATGTGTCCTGCTGTCGGTCAGGGTAAACATTTCCCAAGAACACCATGCGAGGCACGTGTCGATGTCGTGATGATGTCTGAACTAATACGGTTTTTGGTTCTCTGTCACCGTTCATGTTAAAATGCCAAACAAGCGCTGCTTACTATGTACTGAGCCTACACTTATAGTGAAATAAACAGGGAGAAATGTTTCAGTTCGACTTCTAGCACTTCTTGACGTAAAACTAATATATTGAGAGAGGGATTGTGTGCATTGAGGATGGCCTTTAGATAGCCTGCTCACACTAAGGTGGTCACTGACCACAAAACGTCAGATTTCAGTAGCCTGTGTAATGCGAAACGATGAAGTAAGTTAAATCGCAACATTATAAACACACTAATCCAAATCAGCTGGCAACAAATGAAACCCCCCATCCTAAAATGTTGCAGTTACTGAATGAGGTAAATGACAAACAGTAATGGCAGTTAATTTTTCTTTGCTATGTAACTAACTTTTGGTTTGTTTCCTCATGGCAGCATTTCTCTGTAGACGGGTACCTTTAGGTCCAATGCCAAATGAAGACATAAACGTTAAAGAACTGAAGTCATTAGAGAAGTATCGCAGCTACAATCGGTATTTCAGACAAGCCGAGGAGGCACAGAACAAACCTGCCTGGTGGAAAACGTACAGGAGCTACGTGGAAAAATCTGATCCTGAGCATGGTGAGAAATTAAACAGAAAGCTGTTGTGGTCATGGCAGAATGGTTTGTCAAGGATTTTACAAACCCCAGTGCCAGTAAAGTTGGGGCATTGTGTAAAACGAAAATAAAAACTGAATACAATGACTTTTAAATCCTTTTGACCCATATTTAATTGAATACACCACAAAGACAAAGTATTTAATGCTCAAACTGATATACGTTATTGTTTTTTTTTTGTGTGTGCAAATATTCACTCATTTTGAATTTGATGCCTGTAACACATTCCAAAAAAGCTGGGACAGGGGTATTTTTACCACTGTGTTAGATCACCTTTCCTCTTAACAACACTTAATATGCATTTGAGAACTGAGGTCAAGGTCAAAGGTCAAAGTGTTTATTTGCCATATGCACAGTTAGGAAACGTGTTTCCCTGTACAATGAAATTCTTACTTTGCTGTCCGCATGAATGCCACATAATACAAATGAAATATAAAGTAGATGAATAAATAACACAATATAAGGCACTGTAAGCAGCAAATGCAGAGATATAATTAAAATATATAAGAATATAATAAGACAATGTATGCTGCATGGGAGCAGTCAATGTGCAATTATGCATGTGCAAACTGAGAATGTAAACAGTACAGGTCGACAGTACATGACATATTTCCTGGTAATAAACTCCTCAGCTGTTTAGTCTGATGGCAGAGGGAAAGAAAGAGTTTTTCAGTCTAGTTGTCCTGCATTTCACACTTCTGAACCTCTGTCCAGAGGGTAGGAAAGCGAACAGTCTGTGCTGGGGGTGGGTGGGATCTTTGAGGATGGAGGCAGCTTTCCTACGCACCCTGCGGTGGTAAATGCTCTGCAGAGAGGGCAGTGGAGTCCTGGTGATCTTCTCCACAGTCTTTACCACTCTCTGCAGGTGCTTGCGGTCCATAGCAGTAGTGCCGTTGGGCCTTCTTGACCAGTTGTGTGGTGTTATGTGTCCAAGTGAGGTCCTCACTGATGTGGACGCCCAGGTATTTGAAGTTGCTCACCCTCTCCACTTTGAGCCCCTGGATGAACAGCGGCCGATGAGACCTCCTCTCCTTCCTCATGTCCACTATCATCTCCTTCGTCTTGTCCATGTTGAGGCTGAGATTATTGTCCTTGCACCAAGACACCAGACCGGCCATCTCCCTCCTGTAGGCTGCTTCGTCCCCGCCAGTGATGCGACCTATCACTGCGGTGTTGTCCGTGAACTTTAGGATGATGTTGTCTTTGTCTTTGGAGGTGACACAGTTGTGGGTGAACAGGGTGTAGAGGATGGGACTGAGGACACATCCCTGTGGGGTGCCGATGTTCATGAGGATGATGGCTGAAGTTCTGTTGCCAATCCTGACAGTCTGGGGCCTGCCAGTCAGAAAGTCCAGGAGCTAGTCACAGAGGGTGGGGTGCAGACCTAGTGTGGACAGTTTGTGGGGGACAACTGTGTTGAGGACACTAATTGTTGAAGCTTTGTAGGTGGAATTCTCTTCCATTCTTGCTTGATGCATGACTTCAGTTGCTCAACAGCCTGGGGTCTGTGTTGTCGTATTTTGCACTTCATAATGTGGCACACATTTTCAATGGGAGACAGATCTGGACTGCAGGCAGGCCCGGTCTATTACCCACACTCGCTTACTATGAATCCACGCTGTTGTAACACGTGCAGAATGTGGCTTGGCATTGTCTTGCTGAAATAAGCAAGGACGTCCCTGAAAAAAGACGTCGCTTGGATAGCAGCGTATTTTTGCTCCAAAACCTGTAAGTACTTCTCAGCATTAATGGTGCCCTCACAGATGTGCAGGTTACCCATGGGCACTAACAGACCCCCATACCATCACAGATGCTGGCTTTTGAACTTTGGCTGATAACAATCTGGATGGTCCTCTTCCTCTTTAGCCCGGAGGACACGACATCCATGATTTCCAAAAACAATTTGAAATGTGGACTTTTCAGACCACAGCACACTTTACCACCTTGCATCAGTCCATCTCAGATGAGCTCAGGCCGGCGGCGTTTCTGTGTGTTGTTGATGTATGGCTTTTGCTTTGCATTGTAAAGTTTTAACTTGTAGATGTTGTGACGAACCTTGTTAACTGACAGTGGTCTTCCGAAGTCTTCCTGAGACCAGGTGGTAATATCCTTTACAGGATAATGTCTGTTTTTAATGCAGTGCTGCCTGAGGGATCAAAGGTCATGGGCATTCACTGCTGGTTTATGGCCTTGCTGCTTATGTGCAGAGATTTCTCCAGATTCTCTGAATCTTTTGATGATATTATGGACTGTAGATGATTAAATGCCTACATTTCTTGCAATTGTACATTGAGAAATGTTGTTCTTAAACTGTTGGACTATTTGCTCATGCAGTTGTTCACAAAGTGGTGACCCGTGCCCCATGCTTGCTTGTGAATGACTGAGCCTTTTACGATACTCCTTTTATACCCAGTCATGGCGCTCACCTGTTTCCAATAAACTTGTTCACCTGTGGAATGTTCCAAACAGGAACCTTTTTCAACTTTCCCAGTATTTTGTTGCCCTTTTGGAATGTGTTGCAGGCATCAAATTCAAAATGAGTGAACATTTGAAAAAAAAAAAAAAAAAAAAACTATAAAGTTTATCTGTTTGAACATTAAATATCATGTCTTTGTGGTGTAATCAATTAAATATGGGTCAAAAAGTTATTAGCAAGTCATTGTATTCTGTTTTTATTTACGTTTACACAATGTCCCAACTTCGTTGGAATTGGGGTTTGTATTTTGTGACCGTTCAAGCTTCCACAGTGTCAGCAGGTTTTGTTTTGTTGCAGGTGCAGAGCAGGTGGACATCAGTCTGCCGTACTGTCAACCCTGCAGGATCAAAGAAGTGAAGGAGAGAAGTCAGGTGATGAAGAACAACAAGGAGAATGTTGAGCTGGAAAGAGCTGCGCGTCTGCGCACCTGTAAGCTAGTACACATTGTCATCATTCAGTAAATACTTTAATATTTAATTGGTTAAGTTGACTTTTCTGTATCCTGTCTCACCCCCAGTGAAGATACCTCTGGATCGAGTGCAGGAAACCTGGGAGAAGAGCAGTGGTCCGTTTCATATAAAGAGACTAGCACACCACTATGGCGTTTTCAGAGACCTCTTCCCAATGGCATATTTTTTACCTCAAGTCTCACTCTCCATTTGCTATGGCCAGGACCACAATGGCCAAGTGTATTATGGGAACCACCTGACACCAACACAAGTATGTTAAAGGATACATTACTCTCTCTGCGATCCCTTTCTGTGTTGCATTATAGTCTCAACATTTTTGCTCTGTACCCCTCATGATAATTCTTCTCTGACTGTATTCATTGCATTTTATTTGTTGTGCTTTTTTTTTATTTAAGGCAGCATCTGCCCCTCAGATCAGCTTTGATGCAGAGGAGGGCTCCCTGTGGACCCTTTTGCTTACCTGTCCAGGTCAGTCTCATCTAGACAACCAGTGACTCCTTTTACTACCTTGTAGGAACAGAGATTATTTATGGGTTGACAGCATTTGCCATCTGTGTCAAATCATTTTTATGTTTTTTTCTTCTTCAGATGAGCATCTTCTGGATAGTGAGGCAGAATACATCCACTGGCTAGTGTAAGTATTTTAGGTAAAATTTATGCCATGTTTGTCCCATGCAGTGGTTCCCAAATGGTGGGCTGTAGTCCACTTTTTGAATGTGGATTCATTGTGTGTGGATCATGTGCAGTTTTGAAGTAGCAATTCCTGCCTCTTTGCCTCTATGAGTAGGGATGCAAACTTGTCACCCACGTTAGTCTTGGTAATCTGCAATAAAAAGTTTTGTTTGGGTGGCATGGGGGTGCTGGCATGTCCCCTGCCATTAAAACTCATAGATGAAGACGAGCCGGTGTATTTACATAATTTCAGTGCTGGTGTACATCAGCTTCACTCTATGTTAACAGTCAAAACGATGCATGAGCAAATATTCCATTTGAGAAATTATGTAAGCACAACAATGCCAGTGACTCTAGAAGTTTGACACTTGTTAGCAAAGCTAAGTGTGGAAATTCAGGTAGCAGTTTCCTGTTTTTAGCCAGTGCTGATTGTTCTTCTTTCCAGTTAAAATAACAAATAGCAGGGTCATATCAGCTGTTGCTAACATGACTTAAATTGATGAGAAGCCATAATGAAACTCGCTGTTGTTGGGTTTGTGTGCTTGCTGCATGGCGGCGGGGAAAACAGCAGGCTTTGACACAACTCTGCTGTCTGCACTCAGCCAAAAATTGTTTGTGAGGTCAAAGTCTCACTCTGTAACACTGCTGAGCAATCACTTCACTGAGTGTTTCTGTAGTTCCAACAACTCTGACAGAGTGAGACGTCTTCACTAGTAAAACCACCAACTGGTCGCATCGGTTTCAGCAGTCAGAATCTCCCAGCTGGGATTTTACTCATGTCACTATGATCAACTTGAGTTCTGAATTAGGCTGTTAATGTATTACTGTTTCTTAAACAACAGTGTGTGCTCATTTACCTTGGTTTAGTGACATGACCTCAAGTCCCGTTGAACTGAGTGGAGCCTTCGCACTGGAATCTAAATGGAACATAAATGTGACACCCATTATAGTGATTTTAATATTAAAGGGAAACCATTTACTATAGGAGGGTGTAACTCATATTTCTTTGTGATCATGGGGTTGCCGAGTCTGACTGACAGCCTTCATTAACCTCGGTCTCTGTAGGGGGAACATACCAGGTGGAGCCATTCATGCTGGAGAGGAGCTGTGTCACTACCTGCCCCCCTTTCCGGCCCGAGGAACAGGGTTCCATCGCTACATTTATGTCCTCTTCAAGCAGGAGGGCCCCATCAACTTTGAGGAAGAAGTCAGGCCGTCGCCATGGTCAGCAATACACTGAACACATGACAATCTTAGTAGTTGTGTTTATAACATATAATATAAAGACACCATTTATATACAGTGATACTATCACTGCCATGTCTGTCTATTAAAAAAGCTACAGCTAACAGTCTGTTAACTTATCTTAGGATAAAGACTGAGGGAGAGGGTAAACAGCTAGCCTGGCTAACACTACATACTGTAGTGAGAATTAGAGATGTTGGGAGGTGGCTTTTATTGGAACAAAGGAACTCAGACTGTGTGTCAAACAGAAAGATGAGAGGGGGATACTGTGTTCATTAGCCTAACATTAAGTTGTGCATTAGTTCATGTTTCATATATAAACACAGACTAAGAATTGTTGTCTCTCCTCCCCAGCCATTCTCTGGTGGATCGCACATTTAAGACAGTGGAGTTCTACAGGAAGCATCAGGACAGCATGACACCTGCAGGCCTGGCCTTCTTCCAGTGCCAGTGGGATGAATCTGTCACCAGCACCTTTCACAACACACTCAGTGAGTCATGCTAATGCTCACAAGGGCAAGTTTAGTTGTGTGGCATATTATAAAAACCCTTCCGTACATTTTGTATACTGTAGGACAAGTGTGTGTGTGTGAGACAATTCACTGTCTATTAATAATAGAGACTGTGTATATCTTCTCCATGCAGACATGAGGGAGCCCGTGTTTGAGTTTATCCGGCCTCCAGTGTACCACCCCCCACAGGTCAAATACCCCCATCGACAGCCCCTGCGCTACCTGGATAGATACAGAGATGGAAAAGAACACACCTATGGAATATATTGATTATGAGACGCATGCTGAAAGTTGATGAAATCTCAACACATTTTCTTCCAAATGTGGAATTATGTTGGACATATTTATGTTATATCAGTAATAAAACTTTTTTCAGCCGTTTTGAGGGTGTGCTTCCTCAATGATCCCACAGCATTTTTTAGTCACTTTCATTTTCCTCATCAATTACACTCATAGTTGTACATACATACCTACTGTTTTGTGAGTATGTTGGGCTGTTTTGGCTTGACACAGAATTTCATTAATGTAAAATTCACATTGGATGAAACAATACAAGGTGCTCTTCTTGGCTTCTGCAAAATAATAACACATCCCGCTTTAACACTCTATTTTCTCACCTTTTCTCCTCCTGACATTGTGTCATTGTGACCACATAACTCCATCCATGTTCCAACTGATGACACAGTGTTTTTTGTTTGTACCTTTGATCAGCTATAACTTTTGCTAAACCACCAGATGTCACTGCTGCTTACTGAGTTTATACTTCCACGTTCTGTTGTCGGTGCCAACATAGAGGGACCCACCAAGCTTCATAAAGCTTCATCTGCCCATCACTGCTTATTAGTACACGAAGGTTGGTGATGTCACATGACATGACATTCTGAGCAGGTCTATTGAACCACAGTAACCAAAAACACCTGTGGGTGTGCGGAGCACTCCTGTCTAGACTAATTCATCATATTTTTAAAGTTGATCATACATTTTTAGCCATGCCAGTGACATGTTTCTAGGGATGGCAAAGCCAGTCTATCACTTTGGTCCAGACTGAAATTGCACAACTACATGGATTGCAAAGAAATTCGCTACAGACATTGAAGATCCAGAGAAGATAATATCTAATGACTTTGGTGACCCCTTTTGAACTTTTCTATAGCCATGAGCGGAGCTCGGGGGAGGGGTGGCTTATCAGTATTACAATGATGAATGAACAATGAAAAACAATGACAAATTGGTTCCTTAAATACAACTAACATTATTTACTTTGCACCATTGGTGGATTGGTTAAGGTTGATAAATGTGTGTCACCTGTCGGCCTAACTGACTGTATCACATGCTTGTCACAGGAAGTGCTGAATCTCACCTGGCACCGACTCCTCTGAGGAGAGAACCAATTAGAGCTGATTAGCAGCAGCTGAACCACCTGGATGATGGGCCTTTTTAAACCTGGTGCAGCACAGGTAGCATGTTCTTCTAGGGATGGAGTCAATGGGAGTTGCCTGGGCTTTGCTGATTTGTTTGCTGACCCTTTGGCTTACCAAAGGTGCTTATGTTTTTGTTGGATTGAAGCTTATGTTGACCAATAGGCTGTAACATGTTTGTGGCAAACTTGCCATTAAATAGTGAAAGTTTAACAGTGAGCCTTCTGTTCACAGGCTCTTGTCTGGCAATTGGTGGCACAAATGGCTAACTGGGTTTCTTTTGTACTACAGGTCAGTTTCCCAATGAGGTTTCCATAAAAAAGGCACTGGGACTTGGCCGTTTAATGGAGTTGGATCAGCGTGCAAAAGGTGAGCAGGTTTCCTAAAGGCCTACTAGCAAAAGGCAGTGTTTGTGTAGATCCTTGGTTCTCCAATACCACAAAGTGTTCAAGTAAAACTGCATCTTGCTTTGTTATGGCATTTAAAATTCCCTGAGTGAATTAATGTCATCTTAAATGATATCTATTGGACTAGAAAAGAACTTGCAAGCAAAGTCTAAAGTAAGTTTGAGGATTAAGAAACCTATGATGTGTATATTAAATTCCTGCAACAGTGGGTCTTGCAGACATTGGTTAGGTTTGTAGTTTCAGTTATGAGTTGTGTATATCTTTCAAAACAAAGGAGAAATCAAGTTGAAAACCTGAATCTTGTACCACAACCCACAGTGCAGTCCAAGGAGTGTGTGTCATCTGCCATCGAGGTGACGACAGCTACTGAAATGTCCCCCGTTGATACAACAGCAACTACTGAAGCATTCTCCCTCAAGACAAAGATGGCTACTGAGGCAGCCTCCTTCCAGATGGAGACCACCACATTGGCTTCTGAGGTGGTGTCCCCTGTCCGGACCCAGATGAGGACTGCTACTGAGGCGATGACAGTGGTTAAGGCCTCCCGCCCCCAGACAGAGTCAATGATGTCAAGTGAGGCAGCCCCACTTCTGATGGCAACGACAACATTGGCTTCTGAGTTGGTGTCCCCTGTCCGGACCCAGACGAGGACTGCTACTGAGGCGATAACGGTGGTTAAGGCCTCCCACCCCCAGACAGAGTCAACAATGTCAAGTGAAGCAGCCCCACTTCAGATGACAACGACAACATTGGCTACTGAGTTGGTGTCCCCTGTCCAGGTAAAATGGACAACAGCTACCAAGGGATCCTCCCTCAAAGAGCAGGCTACAATGGCCGGCGCAGAGGGGGCCTACTCCCGC